AATATTTTAAGTTTTATAAAATATTTTATAAACAATTTTATACTTACAATTTAAGGGATAATAATAATTATTATTCTAATAAAACAATTGGAATTATTACTTTGAATGATAATAATTATTATTTTATAAAATAATTACAATTTTTATTTACGAATAATAATAAAATGCATTATTAGGATTATTATTCAAACTATATAATTATTTTATATATAAAAATTATAAAAATTTATTAATTATTCCTTAATTTATGTAATTTTTATTTTTAAAATAATACTATTAATTTTATTATTATATTTTACAAATAATATAATTTTCAATTTTTAATAAATTTTTTAAATATTAGTATTTTTAGTTTTATAAATAATTTAATATTAATTTTTAAAATTATAATTCAATCAAATTAGATTAATATTTTAATAAAATAAATTAAATATTTATTATATAATATTATAAATATTTGCTATTTAATTAAAATAAAAATCAAAAAATTGATTTTATGAATTTTATTAAATATTTTTAAAATACCAAAAATATTAATAGTTTAATTAAAATATTTTAGAAATTTATAATTTTTAATATCTAATAATTATAAAAAGATAAATATGATTTATTATATTTATGATATAAAAATAATAATATTTTAAAATTTTTAAAATTAATAATTATCAATATATTAATATATATTAATTTTTTAGTTTTTTAATTTTTAAAATAATTTATTATCTGATAATTATAAAAAATTAAAAATTAGTTTAATATTTTTTAGATTATTAGATAATAAGTTATATAAGTTTAAATATTTAACTTTTTTTAATAATAATTTATTATATATTTATCTATAAAAATTATTAATTAATTCAATTTTTTATTAATTCAATTTTTTTTAAATTTTACTTAGTATACATTATAAAATTTATTATAAAAGTATTAAATTTTTAATAAATTATTTTAAAATATTTAAACTAATTAAAAATAGAAATAATTATTAAATAAAATTAATTTTTAAATAAATTATTTTAAAATATTTAAACTAATAAATGAAATAAAATTGCAAGCAAGTTTATTTGAGGAGATAATAATATAAAACAGATTATTTTTTTTAGAAAAGTAATATATTTATATTAATATAATTAAAATCTCTAATAAATTAAAAATAAAAGAAATTTATTAATAAATAAAAAGTTAAAATATAAAAAATTTAATATAAATTATCTATTTATATATTTATATTTTAATTATAAATATTTATAATATAATAAGTAAAAAATTTAATATAAATTATCTATTTATATATTTATATTTTAATTATAAATATTTATAATATAATAAGTAAAAATTAATTTTATAAAAATTTTTATACTAATGTTATAAATATAAATAAGTTATAAATATAATTTATTAAAATCCTTTGTTTTAATTTATTTAAATAGTTTTTTAGCATAAATATTTTCAAAATATAATTTTATAAATAATATAAGATTGTAAAAGTTTTACATTATTATATAACATTATATAAAGGTTATACTTTAATATAGATATATACAAATTGTATAAATTTATATATTTTTTATATAAGATTAGATTTTTAAATATTTTCAGATATAAATAATAGATCTTGATTTATTTATATTTTAAATTTCTTGCTAATAACTGTTGGTATTAAATTAAATCTTACTTTTCTTTAATAAACTTTGTTGATATAAATTTTTAAAGTCTAACAATTTTGTAAATAGAAATGCATAGAATATATAATAATAAGAAATACTAAAAGATTAAAGGAAGTAATAATAAATTTCAAGCTTTTTATTATAAGCTTTTTATGTGAAGTAATGTTTTTATTTTATTAGTATTTTTTTATATTGGCAAATCCTTCAAATTTTTATTAATTTAATTGAAATATAAAATAAAGTATAAAAGTATCTAATAAGTCTATATCATTAAATGGTAGAAAATTGCCTGCGGAACCGTTGTTTGCAGTCAAGGAACAAACAAGTAAAAGATTTTTTCGATCCCTGTTCTTTTATTACAAATTCAACTGGTATCCCAAGCAATTATAGAAAATTTAAATTTTTTTTTACTCGGGCACTGTCATATTTCAAAGATCGCACATTTTCATGTGTTATCGTAAACACAAACTCATTAAACTGAAACTTGATTGGTAGGTTAGTTTCTTATAAGATTACTGAAATAAGATCTGAGATCAATACAACATCAACCTTAACTCAATTCCAAACAAAATGAGTCAAATTTTTTTATCACTTAATAACGACAACGTATTTTCTGGCATTATTCCAAACGAAACATATTGGTATAATGACATTAGAAATTTTCAACCAAGACGGCTGGACACGACATACCTAGAATGGGCGGTATTATTTCTAGGATGGTATATCATTCTATCCGCAGTTCCTAACTTATGGATAGATTATGATTTATGGAATGCATTTGTAAATCGCGATACCACCTCTCGACCGTTGAAAGTTACGAAGGAGGAACAACGGGAGGCTCGAGATATTACCTCGTTTCCATACCAACCAACAATTCCCCATAAAGAAGTTTCCGGTACTAGCTCACAAAGAATGGTTTGTATCGACAAAACTTTTGGAAAAGAAAAACGAATAGAGTCATTTAACAATAAAGTATTGGCAAAGAATAAACAATCATCTCCGGCTAATCAATTAGTTAATACTCTTCAACATCAAAAGGGAAAAGAAATGGACGGCTCGGAACATTTATCAACGTGCAGTACAGCCCTAAAGAAAAAGGAAATCACTCAACCTCAAGCAGCGTCTCCCCTTTTGGATATGAAATTTGAGAGGATAAACAAATACCACCCAAGAAATCAGCAACAAGTAAAAGGAAAAGGACGACGTCAAAGTATAGCACGAGTAGTTCTAAAAGGAAATAAAATCTCCATATCAGAGAAAATATCATTAAAAAACAATTAAAAATCAGGGATGAAAACATATTTCTATTAAGGACGTTGAGAAGATGGCCAACCAAAGTAATCAACAATCGAGAAGAAAAATAAATGAGACAATCCTCAGAGATTTTTATAATGAACTTGATCATGTCTCAATGATTGACCCTTAACGAGATGAATACATTACATCCATCGGGAAAGAAAAACAAAGAGTACTGATGGAAATACTACGCTAGGTATTTTTTATTAAATAAAGTATTTATGATTATTTCAGAGCAATATGTTCTTGGTTGATAGCGGACACTATGAAGATAATGACTACGGAAACAAGATAATAGAATATTTGGTTTATATAATACACGAGAAAATGAATTGCAGTGGCCATTCAAACTATGAAGAATTCGTCGATAGAGCAATCAATTCTATGGTTAATCAAGAAGAAAGAATTCAATTCCATACCAAGCTTTTTGGGAAACAGAAGAAACACACCATATCAAACTTAAAGAAGATCTCAGACCATAGTTATTTTCAATGGGTCCCACGATTTTAGATTAGTATATTATCAAGTTAATATCCATTTATATAACTTTTAATAAAATTTTTGTTACTAGCCTAATCGGCGTTTTATTAATAGAATTTGGTTTGTCGTATGATTTTTTATTTTGTTACTCATATATTCAATGGTTTAATTTATTTAAATTTCATGTCTCAGTAATTTTTCTTTTATTCAGCTTTGAGATATTTCGCTATATCAATATAACTACATGAAAACCTGCTACTTAAAATACATGTAACTATCGTTCACTTAACATTAAAATTTTAAATTGATCCGGAGACCTGGGGTTCATTGTTTTTATTAATAAAAAAAATTTATATGTAAATCCTAACGATGTGATTAGTTGGGTTTTAAGATGGTGAGCATTTTCCATATTGTGAATACTGTAATGTACCAGTTGGAAGTAAAACTGAGAAGATGCTAGCCTTGTTCAACTCTATTCCATCTTGATCTGGTCCGATTGTCCAAATGTTCCGAATGAAAATAAACATACTCGCTAATCGACATGATTGATTAAATATTGAAACAAAAGATTTTCTACTTGGTTAAAATAATATCATAAAAATTGTATCGGAATAGTATTGAACAGGAATAATAAGTTAATTGCGCTACGGAAAGTTTTCGAATTCTGATATACCAGTCACATCAATCACGATATTTTCCTTTACCTACAATACTAAAATCTATACTAATAAAGTCAATTTGAAAGGGCCACTGTTGGTATTCAGTTCTTGCGTTATTTATTTATATACAATTTTGTATTGTAAGAGGAAGGCTTTTATTGAGTAAAAATGACGACAAATTTAATAATTTCAATTAATCAGTGTTGCCTCAACGTCGGCGCTCTACACTTTCGCAATGTCAATTTATTAAACTAAATATAATGCTAATCACTGACAATAATAATTAATTAAAACTGTGCGATTACAAAATATAAATAAAATAATAAGGAAAATCGGGTTTTTTAAATAAACGAAGTTACAAATTAAAATTATAATGTCAACAGCGAAAGCGAATATATCGCAAAGGAGGAAAGGAAGGTTTAAGGTGTATATATGCAATATAAGAAGGGCGAGTTCAGTTGTTTAAGGATTTCTAATTCATATTTATAAAAAAAAAAATAATTAGGACGGCCCGACATCCTACCATCCTGTCATCCTAACAACCTGGCATCCAACATGTCAAATTAGCTACAAAGGACTAACTGAAAATATCAAAACAAACGAAATTATGATGCTTTCGAGCGGAATTATAACAATACGAAAGAAAGCAATATAAAAGATCAAGTAAACCAAGAAATGATGGAACTAATACCATAAAATTCGTATTGTTACATTGATATAATTCCACCCGAAAAAAATCATGATTTTCGCCTTTGTAGTTCAATTTCGACCATATTGTTAGGATACCATATCGTTAGTATGCCAAGTTGTTCTAATTAATATATTCTTTTACGATAATCATAGCTTCATAATTTTTATGCTGCAACTTCGTTTTTTAATTTTTATTTATTTTTTATTGTTCCGATTATTATTTTGCGTAGTTTAATTAATTTAGCATTAATTTCTGTTAATAACATCCATCATAATTATTTAATTGCTTATTAATAAAATCCCTTTTGCTTACATTTAATAATACAAGTTACGAAATGAAATAATTACACAAAACTTTTTTTGGTAAAAAAAATTTTAAAGCCGGATGACGTGGACCGAAATGCTAATGTGCTTGGCATAAGGTATATTACATTAATTTAATCATCTATGTGTAAAGGCTACAAAATTCGAAGATAACGCAGCTTGAAAGCTTAGATAACTTTGAGTACATTAATACTATAATTCTTTCTTACTTTTATTAAAAAAAAAAAAAAGATTAATTAAACATTAGTGGCCCAGGGTGGCTTCGAATTTTAGACTTATGCAAGCTTCTATTAAACATCATATTATATTTTTCATGGGTTGATTAATCTTAAGAGTTTTAATATCACAATTATTATGTTGGATGGTATTGTAACGATATTTGTCGTTTAATTTCTTAGGAATTTGGCGTAAAGAGCATACATCCCTTGAATAGAAATTATGGATATATTAAACCTTTTAATAATAAATAACTTGCCTCAAAGTTTGAGAACGAGTAAGTAATTTGGTGGAAATAAACTATTTACCTATTGCTTAACGCTTGATAATTCATATTTTATAGACGATTCTTGTCATTCATGGCTATACTTCAATTATTTAATCCAGATTCATAAAGCTAGACGTGTTTTAAAACGAAGGTAGAATTTATTCATAATTTTAAATTTCATTACAAACAAGGAAGGAGTGGTCGTCAAACAATTTTTAATTTCTCATTTATCAAAATTTCTTAAAATTTTTGTATCACATACCAAAGTTTATTGACTAATAAGAAAATAAAACCAGACAAATTTTTGATAAAAATAGTAGTAACTCTATATTTGCTTTTACACATGTATTCGCAGTAACAATCCGCATCACTTTTTTGTGAGCAAAAATAGTTCACAAATCTCTACTTCAAAGCTATCGTTAGTTTCTCTAATCGGCTTATCATAATCAGACATTATACATCTATTACCATAAACAGGACTAATGATAAGATCCGAATAGCCAAATCCAGGACCGCAATTAAAATGATTATATATAGAACGTTGTTCATTCTTTACTCGGCTTAAAATATGATTGTTAATATCATTCTTATCTTTAAATGAGAATATAAAGCTATCCTTAGTTGCGCCATAAAAGAAAATTATACCAGAAACCCATGTGATTGGATTATAACCTCCAAGAATTTCGTCGCTTCCTTTCACTTTAATTATCGAGACAGTCGGAAACTTATCACCACAAACTCCATGAAATAATTGACCTGAAAGCGCACCTCGTAAACGAGCTAATAATTTGAAGTCATATGTAGCAGTTATTTCGTTCGTAATTTCTAATTTATCGATCCATTTTGAGATTAATTCTGCATGGTTAAATGTAAGGATACTTGATTCGAAATTTACTATTCTATTTGATTCGTCCATCAAATATTTAACTGATTTATCGAACAATTCTTCGGGTATAATGCTTTTATACGGATAAACATTTTCCAAAAATTCTTTAGAAGTTAATTCCAGGAATTTAATCAGAGGAATACATTCTTGCAAAGAAACTTTCAAGCTATTGAAATCATCTTGTGAATAGCTAGAAGGATCCAAAGAAAGCCCGGGATTCTGTGCAAGTCCCCATTTAAGCACATAATCCCAAACTTTGGTTGCACTCATTTTGAGGTTATCATTCTGGATCAGTGAGACCAAAGCTTTTTTTGGAATTGAAGGTGATACAAAGAACTTTGCTGGATCTTTTGAAATCAATTCTGTACAGACATTTTGAAGTTCAAGGTAAGTATCACTTTCTAAACTTGTTTGATATATCAGATTTAAATTTTCATCCGACCAATTTTCCTTGTTTTGAATCAAAATAGATTGTAAATAGTTAGAAACTTCCTGAAGACCTAATTCGTTGGCAACGATCAAGATTTTAACAATCTTCGAATCATTAAAATCAATCAAAGGAAGTCTTCCGCCATAAATGTATCTAGAGATAAGAAATTATATATTTGTGGAATTAAAAAAAATCAACAAAATATTTAATTAACTTTATTACAATTTACCTTAAAATGATTTGAAAAATTTCAGGTGAAAAGTTTGGTAATTTAATATGTACCAAAGTTTCATCATCCTTCTTTTTATTATTCGACAAAACTTTTTGAAAATAAGTTGAGCGATAAAATAAAATATTCATATGAGCTCGAAATATTTGCACATGAGGGTCATTACCAACTTCAATAGTAATATCATAATATTCGTCATCTTCCAAAATTTCTAGGAAGTTTTGGGTTAACTTTGGTAAAAAATTATCTGTATCCATTGGTATTTTTTTTCTAAAAGAAATACGTGGGAAATTTGGGTATTTTTGGACGCGGTTCATTAAATACCAGTTTTGAAAATGTCATGCATGTGATGATGTAATGATCGGCATGGGTCTTTATTTTTTTTAGTTCAATTCCGGACGATCTCAAACTAGGTCGATCAAAATTTCAAAATCGACTACATGTATGTTCCTTGAACATTATGTCGTGAAAAAACGGCAAAAAGTATAAAAAAGTATGAAATTAGATGGAAATATTTAAATAAATTGTAGAGGTTTTATTAGGAACTACTTTTCACTGTGGGTGATACGTTACCCACCTGTTTTGGTTATATTTTCTTTTATTTGGTTTTGGAATTGATGATTTTTTTTTTTTTAAAATAAAATTTATATGTTATTATAAATAAAATATATACCGTATATCATGCAAGTTTTATTTTTTCCTTTGTTATGTTGATATTTTAAATGTATTTGAATGAATATTTCATTATATTCATTCGATCATACAGATTTTAGCCAATCTTGACAAATTAATATATCATTAATATCAATTGGATCATTAGCAAAAACTCCTTTTGATTCTAAAGTCCTTAAATAATGTTATATCAAAATTATTATTCTTTTTGTATTAAGTTGAAATATACTTGAAGAAAAAAAATTGTGATTTCTTATATTAAATCATAATTTATAAGTTTTTGAGGCATAAATCAAAAATTTGCAATTAATTCTTATTCATAAATAATACAAATAAATTTATTACTTTAGACTAGCGAATCTTTATAATCAAAAAATTTAATAAAATTAAGCTTATAAAAAAAAGTTAAACTAAACTTCAACATTCAATAAATAGTTAGTTTCCCTGCTGACATGTTTACTAAAGTATTAGCATGCTATCTCTTATATAAATAAATATGAGATATCATCAAGATACCTATCTTCTCTACCATAACATTGAAGAGCAGATAGTAATTTAAAGTTTATTATATAAATTAATAATTTAAATTTAGTTTATTTTTAATAATAATAGTAACTAATTAATTGAAATCCCATTTTATAGGCTGATACTCAATTAATATTAAGTAGTAAATGGAATAAATTTAGCTGTAGTTGTGGACTTACTCAAAAACTTCAAAATAAAGATTATATCCTTGTATGCATTTTTACAAAATGGACTTAAGAAAATATTTACAATAATATCAATATCAACTTACATGGAAAAAAAATTTTGATATAATTTTCTTTATAATTGAAGCAACTTTTTCCTTTATATAGAAAATTTTATTCATAGAGATTTACATTCAGGAAATATATTATATAGTCAATATACTAATTCTTCACATATTTGTGATTTTGGATTTTGTAAGTCTGCTAATAAACCATTAGAATGCATTTATGATATTCTTTCTTACATAGTACCTGAAGTTATATTTAGAAAATAATATACTTTTACATCAGATATTTATAGTATTGATATGATTATATAGGAAGTTTCATCTAAACAACTACCTTTTACTAATTTTGATTATGATTATAATCTTATAATAAAATAATAAATGGTATATGACCAAAAATAATATTAAAAATACCTTTAGAATATAAAATTTAATGAAACAATATTAGGATGCTAATGATGCTAATCTATTAAAAAAACCTAATATTAGTTTTCTTTATAATAAAATTAAACAAATAATAGATTTGTATAATTCAAATCAAAATAAAGAAACTGGTATTATTTTAAATAATATACAATCAATTATTAGCTCATTTTTTATTAATCTATTAGTTAAAAAATTAAGTAAATATTATACTTTTAAAGATTTATATAAATTAAAAAATGCTAATAAAGGTAAATTATTTATGATTAAAAAAAATTTAAAATTTTATTTTAATTAATAAAAAAAACAAAAAATTTTAAAATTAAATTTATAATAATAAAAAAGAATTAGTAATAACAAAGTTTTAATATTTTAATAATATAAAAACTTTCTTTTAAAAATTAATTATACAAATAATGAAATTGAACATATTATATACAAAAAAGATATATTTTAAGTAATGATAGAAAATAGATAAATTTAATTAATTATTATTAATTTATAATTTATTATTAAATGATAAAAAAACTTATAATAATTTAAATCTTCATTCAGAAGATCAAGATAATTTAAAAGTTTCTGAAGGTAAAATTAATTAACATTATTAAATTAATAATTTTTATAACTGAGTAATTTCTTACAATATTAAAACTATATTATTTATCTATAAATTCTTAAAGATTAGAAGTTTATTTAATCAGTAATTAATATATTTTATAATTTAATTAAAATATTATTAAATTTTAAATGCATAAAAATATTATTTTATAAATAAAATCTAGTCGATTATGCCTAAATAATATAATTATATTATTTAGGCATAATCGACTTAGATTAGGTTATTTAGTAATAAAATAACCTAACTATAACTAAATAATCTAAATATAACTAAATAATCTAAATATAACTAAATAATTTAAATATAACTAAATAATCGATATATTACCAAATCATTCGTGAAATAACCTAACTACAACTAAATAATCTAAAGTTT